CCCCCCCCCCCCTTGTGTAGAACCTAAATTCCAATGAAGTGGGTCTCTGGGTGGCTGCTTCTCTGCAGTTCCCCTGTGTCAGGCGCACAGTAAGTTACCCACTAAATATGTTAAGTGAACCGGGGCACTTGCCTAACTGCACCCATGTATGCTTTCTTCCTGAACTGGGGAAAGAGTGGTTGGCTCACCACCTCATTCACTTATTTGTTCATGTGTTTCCCGTGCGTGTATTGAACGGCTGCCAGGTGGGAGGCACAGTAATACGAAGGCCCGGGGGTGGGGTCGGAGGGGACAGACAAGTCAATAGACAGTTGCGATAGGTGTTAATGTCTAAATACAGAGGCAGACACCTCCCTGCCATGACCTCACCAGGTCCCCTGGTCCAGCAAGGGCAGGCAGGGAAGGCTCCTGAAGGAGTTGGCCCTGAAGCTGTAACGTCCTGCCCTGCGTCTCAAGTTCTTTTGCGATGAGTCCTCTCCACACCAGGGGAAATGCCATTGTCAGGCTTGCCATTTCTATCTGTCATCACCCGATGGCCCTCATCCGTTTGCTCCAACTCTTTGGGTTTTCCTGACCCTTAATTCTCTTAGTCATGTGCTAGAACCTGTTTCAACTCACAAGCCATCCAATGTGTTGTATGTCATTTGTCACAACGTGATCCTCAGTGTCATGTGTAGAAGAGAGATCCCCAAGCGACTCACCCAACTCCTCTTGGTATGGAAAGCAAAATTTGAATACTTAGAAATCCTTAATCATTTTTAAACTGCCTTTTGCTTCAGGTGAGGTCAGAGTTAAAGAAAAGCTGTCAGGAACAAGATGGGTCTGTGACTGGCGAGGTGTTGGCATTTACATGGTCAGCAACCTTGTGCAGGTTCTGTGGCGTTTCTTCTCGTAGTTTTGGGGCATTTTCCAGGCTACTTATTTGCGGTGTTGAGCAACACAAGTTCATTGCTCCTCACAGGTTTTCCTGGAGAGAGAAGGGCCCCCACAACAACGCATTCCCTCACCAACCACTGTGCCAGCTGACATTTGCCCCGAAGATAACCCAGTTTCGTATCAGTGGCCTATTACCTGTGGAAAATGGAAGCAGTGGGTTGTACCATTCCCTAAGTTTTAGGCCCATAGCCAGCTCACAGGGCCATATGTATGCGAGTGTGTTTGTGAGTACGTGTGGGTGTGTTACGTGTGCTTCTTTTGAAACTTACGTTGAGTAAATCACCAATTTATGACTCTTTCTTACCATTGATCCCTTTGGGCCCATTTATGTTTGGTTGATTGGCTTCCCTTCTTTCATTACTCCCAATTTCCATTCCTAAAGGCAACATCTGGGTTCAGGCATAGCTTTGACTTTGCATACGTCCTTATAAAATGACTAGTATTGTAGAGTGTGTGCACACTTTTTTAAGTTTTGTAAAATAAATGAGGCCGTAGTCATTTTATTCCTTTTCATGCCCGGAACACTGTTTCGTGGATCTATTTATGTTGCTGGGTGTACATCCATGTTGCTTTTCATTGCTGCAATGTATCCAGAAGGTATATCGCCCATATTTTATGTATTCCTCCCACCGACAATGAACACTCAAGTTGCCTTTGGATTCTTTATTTTGCACTCAGAGGTTTTCTAGAATATATGCCCAGAAACGGGATTGCTGGGTCATAAATTTGACTAAATACTCCCAGCTGTTCTCTAAAAGAGCTACGTGTATCAAGAATCCTTCAGAAGTGTACAAGCATTTGCATTTCCTCACACACAAAATCTGCCAACACACAAAATCACCTGACTTTTTGTTAATCTTATAGGTGTAAAGTGTTATCTAGTTGTTTGGGTTTGCATAGCTCTGATTGCAGGTGAGTTTGAGCATCTCGCCATACACTCGCCCTTTGAGTTCCCCATATTGTGAACTGGCTGTTTATATCCTTTGACCAATTTCCTGTTGGTCTTCCTGCCCATTTTCTTATTGATTTTTGAGGATTTCTTCTTAAGCCTTTGCTAGCTTTACATTTTGCAAATATGTTCTTTCAACTTGTCACCTATTATTTTGACTCTGATGTCCTTTAATGAATAGAAATATTTAAATTTTGATATAATCAAATTAATCAATTTCCCACCTATGGGTGAAGGTATTTTGGGTTTTATTTTAAAAGTTCTTCCTCATGTGGCATACATTTTAGGTTGTTTTAAGAACTCTGTAATTTTAATTCTATTAAGAGGCTCTAAAGAGCTTATCTTTCCTCCCAGTTTTGTCCTTTTACAGTCATTAGGTGATTCAACAACGAAGGGACAGTGGATACAAATTACAAAGTTGTATGTGATTTTGCAGACATGCTCAAGGCATCTTGATTTTTAAATCTATTTCAAAGTCATGTTGGTGATCAAGTTCTGCTAATACAGTTTTCTCACCATCTTTGATCTATTTTCTGAGATGCTTGCCCCTTCCTGGCTCATTTTCCTTATCAAGCTCATGGAATCCGTAGAATGTATTTCCACCGCCGGGGCATCACCTTTGCTGCCCCAGGCTGTGGTCCATGCACATCTAGGTCTGTCCTCTCCTCAACCCTCTGGGTGCTCAGAGATGTGCAGAGATTTCTTTTTACACTTAAAGACTGCAGATGCCCTGTATTAGAATCCAGCAACAACCTTAGTCTGGTATGCTCATCCATACTTTGATACACACTCCTTAATTAGAAGAGCAATCCTTTTATTTTTATGTGCAGTCCTCTTGGGTGCCTTCATGTTGTGATTTTTCATTGCCTGAGCCACACCTACACAAGCCTCAGAGCAGGCAGCTCCAGCCAGGGAACTCCTAGACTCAGAGATTAGCTCTGAAAGGAACCATGAGGGATGTTCAGTGCTTTCCAGATAGAAATGGTGTATTACCTCCTATCCTGGGGAGCATTTGGAAATATTGGGGGGACCATTTTTGGTTGTCCCAATGACTAGGTGTGCCACTAGCACTTAGTACCTGAAGGATAGGGGTGCTAAATGTCCTACTATGCCTTGGGAGGTCTGAAACAATAAAGAATTGCTTAGCCCTCATAGTGCCCCATTGAGAAGCAATGACTCAAATCCCTTTATTGTATAGAAAAGAAATGAGACTGGAGAGGTTGGTGAGTGCCCAAGCTCACACAACTAGTCCTGAAGCAGACTATAAGCTCCTAGAGACTCAGGCTGTGGTCTGTCTTTCTTTTTTAAAAAATACATCTTTATTGATTTCAGAGAGAGGATGGGGGAGAAAGAGAGAGAGGGAAACATCAGTGATGAGAGAGTCATTGATCAGCTGCCTCCTGCATGCCCCCTACTGGGGACCGAGCCCGCAACCCGGGCATGTGCCCTGGCCGGGAATCGAACCGTGATCTCCTGGATCCTAGGTTGATGCTTAACCTCTGAGCCACGCCGGCCAGGACAGGCTGTGGTCTTTCTATGGATGCAAGTACATTTCATTGGGTGAGCTCATTCCAAGCTTTTCTTTTGGGTGGCAGGAGCCATTCCACATGTACCCTGTTGTTGTTTCTAATTTTTCTGTCTCTCTTTATTTTTTANCTTTTGGGTGGCAGGAGCCATTCTACATGTACCCTGTTGTTGTTTCTAATTTTTCTGTCTCTCTTTATTTTTTACTGCTTGCAGCTGAGCTTGGTGATTATGATCCTGATGAGCATCCTGAGAATTACATCAATGAGTTTGAGATTTTCCCTAAGCAGTCACAGAAACTGGAAAGAAAAATAGCAGAAATCCATAAAAGCGAACTCAGGTAATGGGGGAAGATGTTTGTGAAGATGGCAGAGGTGCGGAAATATTCTCACTGTGGGGGATGTGGAAGCCGTGCTGTGAAGAAAGAATACCTGTAATGTATGGGCACTGTCTCAGGTGTCGGAGCAGTATTTCTGGGCACCATCAAATCCCTCCATTAATAACGATTGCAATAGTGTGGGGTCCCCTGGGCGGCTGTTTATGAACCATCAGCAGTTATTAGAGTCACGTATTTTCTTATGAGCTTTAACCACCCTGAGTTTCTGAAAGTGAAATGCAGGCTAAATAAGTAATCTTCTGTTTTGGAGTTTGCACTGCCGCTTCCCTCCTGTGGCCATTGCTGGAAGCTTCTACTCCAAGTAGAGTAGAATCCCTCGACAGGACAGGGTTCCCTTTGCTGAGCTGCTTTCAGGGTGACAGATTCAGCGCCTTCTCCTCTTTTCCTTGTCTGTGAGGCTCTGGGACAGTTGCTCAGCAGAGTAGTAATGGCTGGAGTAGCAACATCACATATAGTATCTACTGTGTCCCACGCTCTTCTAATTACTTGCACATATTGACTTATTTAATCTTTACAACAACCTAGGAGACAGGTGTCATAGTTATTCCTACTTTACAGATGAGGGAACTGAGGCACAGAGAGATTAAGCATCTGACTCAAGATCACACAGCTAGTAAGTGGCAGAGGCAGGATTTGAATCCAGGCCTCCTGGCTCCAGAATCTGTGCTCTGAAGCATTGTATGATGCTTCCGCTTTGCATAGGCTACCAGGAATGAAATGAAGCATGTATAGGAATCATCAGGATTTGGAATTCAGGTAACTTAGTTTTCCTAGCCCATAACTAGAATTCAGATCTGTGCAAATCACAGAAAAATTCATTATGATAATCATAGTAAGCTTGGGCTGTGCTGTGACAGGTATTGACGAAGAACTGCAAGAGCTGAGAGGCTTCTATCTTCTGGGCCTCTGGTAATGATAAAAAAGTTAGTGCACTGGTTTATGACTTCTGGAACAAATTACTGTCCCCTTGCGAGGGAGGGCTAGAGCTCCCTACTTTATGCTGGCACTCCCCCTTCTGGTGAGTCTGAGACGAGCATGCATGTGGGCATTAAAGGTAGCTTATTTCAGCTCCGAAAACATGACCCTTGTTCTTAGAGATAAAGATGATTAGACATAAAATATCATATCAGTTAAAGAAAGCAACGTACCATCTCTATGGGTAATTTTAGAGTATTGTCTCCTAGTGAAAAGTTTTGTTGAAAACATAGGACACTCTTGACTACTCTTTTTACATTTCGGGAACAAGCATACTCAAGGTAAAAATAAAGTTCCAATATCCAGTTGAGGGGTATGTGGACCAGCAGTGTCTGGTGAGCCCAGGGTGAAGCCCTTTGGACAGAGGAGTCACATCCAGTGTGTAGAGTGGCAGGAGGGGAGAATGGAAAGGCCTGTTGTGATCAGAATTTGCAGGGCCCCCAGTGTTTGAAACATATGGTGATAATAAACGTTTATTGAGCACTTAGTGGATAACAAAACACTGTGCTGAGTCTCATGTGTCTTCCCCCTCAGTCTTCCCCAGCTCTGTGAGGTTGCAAGGAGAACTGCGAGGGCGTTTCCCTGTGTATTTTTGCTAACCCTCAAGCAGTCATGCATTTCCTGCTGCATCGGTGCGGCAGGGAGAGATGTGAGGTTTGGATGGGAAGAGGAGAATAGAATGAGCTGATGCTGCAGAGAGGGCTGCCTTCTAGAATCGGCTGGAACCCTGCCGTAGAGGCTCAGGTTGCTCTGGGGGTTCAGCGAGCCCTTTGCATGCAGGTCTTAACAATGTTGACCTCGTGTGGGAACTGGATTGCGCCGCCGGCCTGACAGTGTCAGGAGGGAGATGTAAGGGGAAGAGATCATTAGGAGGCTGCATCGAGGTGTCACCGTTTTAGTCTCCAAGGTTGTCACAGAACCCATGACCCTCCCACTCAAACGGGGAATGTGTGATCGTTGGTCTGTTGTTACGGAAACTTCCTGAGAGGATTCCAGTTGGCGATTTTGGGGGTTTGAGTGACCCCCCCCAAAAAATAACCTCCTGCTTTCTACCTGATTTCCGAACCAGCTGAGAGAAAGCAAAAGAGACACTCAAACATCAGGGGAGATGATGATGATTTACAGTGAGAGAAACATTTTCACCTGTGGCTTTCAGAGCCTTCTCCAGCCTTTTTCACTTGATTAGAATCGGTCCCCCGTGCTCCCTGAGGAAGGGACAAAGGCGGTGAATCTTGGGGGAAGATTAACCCGGGGGAAGGAGGAGCCCCCTCCCCGCCCGGGAGGCTGCTGCTGCCTGGAGTGAGGGCTAGGATGGCCTGGCAGGCACGAGCAGAGGCCCCTGTAGGGGAGGGACACGTGGGAGAGGCTCCTTGGAGTTCTGAGGTGCTTGAAAATAGAAGACCAAGATTTTAGTAAGTATTAAGTGCTCAGACTTCTTTTATTTGTGGGTGAAGATTGGAATTCACTCCTTGCTTCCTTAAGTGTGCCATATCTTTGACTGAACAGGACGGTAGGGAGAAGTCACAGTTTCACAAATCTAGTTTATTGATCATCTCTTTGTCAGTCAAGAATAACTAGATTTTGCTGAGGAAACAACCCCCAAAGCTCAATGGTTTAGAACAAGAAAAGCTTTTTTCTTCCTGTGCTGTGTGTCTACCAGATGTCAGCGGAGGTGTGGGGTGTGTGGAGGGGTAGGGGTGTGTGTGGAGGGGTGTGTGTGTGTGTGTGTGTGTGTGTGTGTGGAGGGGTGTGTGTGTGTGGAGGGGTGTGTGTGTGGAGGGGTGTGTGTGTGTGTGGAGGGGTGAGGGTGGTGTGGAGGGGTGTGTGTGTGGAGGGGTGTGTGTGTGTGTGGAGGGGTGAGGGTGGTGTGGAGGGGTGTGTGTGTGGAGGGGTGTGTGTGTGTGTGGAGGGGTGAGGGTGGTGTGGAGGGGTGTGTGTGTGGAGGGGTGTGTGTGTGTGTGGAGGGGTGAGGGTGGTGTGGAGGGGTGTGTGTGTGGAGGGGTGTGTGTGTGTGTGGAGGGGTGAGGGTGGTGTGGAGGGGTGTGTGTGTGGAGGGGTGTGTGTGTGTGTGGAGGGGTGAGGGTGGTGTGGAGGGGTGTGTGTGTGGAGGGGTGTGTGTGTGTGTGGAGGGGTGAGGGTGGTGTGGAGGGGTGTGTGTGTGGAGGGGTGTGTGTGTGTGTGGAGGGGTGAGGGTGGTGTGGAGGGGTGTGTGTGTGGAGGGGTGTGTGTGTGTGTGGAGGGGTGAGGGTGGTGTGGAGGGGTGTGTGTGTGGAGGGGTGTGTGTGTGTGTGGAGGGGTGAGGGTGGTGTGGAGGGGTGTGTGTGTGGAGGGGTGTGTGTGTGTGTGGAGGGGTGAGGGTGGTGTGGAGGGGTGTGTGTGTGGAGGGGTGTGTGTGTGTGTGGAGGGGTGAGGGTGGTGTGGAGGGGTGTGTGTGTGGAGGGGTGTGTGTGTGTGTGGAGGGGTGAGGGTGGTGTGGAGGGGTGTGTGTGTGGAGGGGTGTGNGTCCGTCTTCACCGCTAGGGCCAGCCCAGGCTTGAATTTGCCAGTTGTTGAGCCAAAGGGAAAAGAGAGATCTGGAAGGTGTTGCTTCAGCTTGAAAGTGATGCACGTGGCTTCCACTTAACCACTGTGGCCGTGACTAGTCACATGGCCCTACCCAAGAGCAAGGAACTGCAATTTTTGAGGTGTCCAAGAAGGTGTAAACTGGAAACAGCTGCTGGTAAATAGCTCTTAATGGCCTTCACAGTATCATTAACTAATAGTTTTTAAAAAATAGACTTTAATTTTTAGAGTAGATTCTGTGGAAGGCACAGAGATTTTCCCTTTACCCTCTGCGTAGCCTCCCCCAATATCCATGTCCCCCCACCGGAGTGGCACATTTGTTACAGTTGGTGAACCTACATGGACACATCGCCATCACCCAGAGTCCGTAGTTTACCTTGGGGTTCACTCTTGGTGTCGTATATTCTGTGCGTTTGCACAATAGTATACTGACACGCATCCCCCGATAGAGCATCGTACGGAATGCTTTCGCCGCCCTAAAAATCCTCTGCGCTCTACCTGCTCATCCCCCCGCACCCCTGCAGCAACACACTTTTGGTCTATTCACCGCACTGAAGGACATCTTGGTTGCTGCCAAGGTTTGCACTTGCGCGTGAAGCTGCTATAAACACCCAGGCAGGTTTTGGTGGGCATATGTTTTAACCTACTTTGGGCAGATACCAAGGAGAGCGATTGCTGGATTATATGGTTAGACTATATTTTGTTTTGTAAGCAACTACCAAACTGTCTTCTAAAGTAGCTAAACTATTTTGCATTCACACCAGCAATGAGTGAGAGTTTCTATTGCTCCACATCTTTGTCAGCACTTGGTGTTTTCAGTGCTCTGGGTTTTGGCCATTCTAATATGTGTAAAGATAATGGACTTTTATTTAGAATGACTTTAAAGAGGCAGCTTTGGGCCTCATAATATAATATCCTGTGAGCTAGAGGATGAGATGTGTGATTCACATTATTGAATAGATGTCAGTGCAAAAACCTACTAAGGCTGAATAATTCTTCTAGATCGGATGTCATTAATTTGGTTTTTATTTTTTCGACTTTTTGGCTTTTTGGGCTATATGGTCTTTATTGAAGCTACTCAGCTCTGCTGTTGTAGAGAAAAAAAAAAAAAAGATATAGACAATACATAAATAAGTGGGCTATTATTCAATAAAACTTTATTGACAAAACAGATGGTGGGCCAGATTTGACTCATGGGTTCCAGTTCACTGACTTCTGTTCTAAACATGTGGCAGAGCAGGTCTAGAATCAATTTCTGCTTCATTCTTCTACCTCCATAGATAATTTTAAGACAAGATCCATGTGTGTTCTTAAAACTATGTGTAAAAGAGAATCGCCTGTAATTTACAGATTTCATTTGAGTTTGGTGTGCAGAGATGAGGCCCTGCTACTAGGACTGTTTTAGA